CCAAACCACGCGTAGGAGTAGCTGGGGACATGGTGACTGGCGTGTCACTGTAGCCTGCGAAGGAGTTGTACATTGAAGGGATAGTGGATGGCAGTTCAAGTGATCGGAGGTGCAGCCCATAATTACTTGTATCTAAGGGTGGGACTCTTTGGAGAGTAGAATCCATAGGAGAGGGAGGTAAACCCAGCAAGCCTGAAGGAGGAGGGGTGATATCAAGGCTACGGAGAAGCAAGGCGGTCTGTTCGATCTCCGCTGGAAGTGAGTAGCCTTCCTGCTATAGAAAAATTGACATTTGATTAGATAAAGAGTCATATTTGTGATTAGAATGTTGTGGATGGGAGGCGGAACGGATGATATGCAAGACAAGAGAGTTTTGAGGTGCGAGAGGGAAATGACGCGTAATTCGCGCTTATCAACGCGTCTCAGTGAAGAAAGTTGTCTGAGAAGAAGCCTGCTCGGGTGTCTATCTAAGGATGGGGAGGCTAAAGGGCATGGCTCCAATGAGAAAACTTACAACAGTGGGAAAACGACGACCATCCCCGATGGCGCCAATGGTGGCCTGTTGAATGGGTCGAATCGGAGCATTAGCTACGTATCGACGCTGATCACGACCGTGTTGCACAAGAATGCTATCTTCGTCTTTAGACAGAGTACCATTCATGCGGGCAGCTAGCTGTCTGAATGAGCCTTGCTCGGTGGTCAGGTTTGAGGCAGAATAGCCTTCAAAGGGAGAAGAATACGGGGCTTTGCTTGGTGACTGTGCCTCTTTTGGCACGTCTGTGAGCACGGAGGGACGGCCTGCTGCAGTGGTCTGCACAAACGATGGCGTCGTACCTGGAGTCCCTACATCCACATTACGATCATCTACGATGGGACTAGTAGATTTATGCATGCTAGGGAGTTGGTTGAAGGGACTTTGAGTGTCCATGGACGATGGTGGCATGGATAGGAAGAAAGGAAAGTAGATGGACGATCCGTGCCCTGAAACTGGATTTTATAGGTGGCCGCTAAAGGCAAAATACTGGAAACCAAATGTACATTATAGGCGTTGTATCTTGTTTACGTGGAAGTTGGGTTGTACAATGGGTTGTGGGACTAGCTGGACATACGGCAGCAATGTGATAGTTCATGCCAAGCATCCCTCACTGGCTAGATAGCAAGTTCCCGACTACTATGAGCGCGTGCATTGTATGTTTAGATCAGCAGTTCCTTTCTTTTCACTGTGGTACAGATGAGGCGCACTCAGCTTTTGACTGCATCTATAAAGTAGGGAAAGGCAACAAAGAACAGAGCAGAAGACTATAATTTACTGCTCTAAATCTCCCCGGATCAGTTACATCTATGAAATAGTACGCTGAAAACAGTGAGCACAGCTGTCGAGTTTACTGTGTCATTATGCCGCCAACTCCTGTCAACTCCTAGTCAGATAAACCGTCAGCAAGGAAGAAAGAGAAAAGAATAGCATATAGTTCTTACAAAATGCTACCGCCTTTGCTTTAATGATGGCTATGCGCTCCTTCCTCATCCTTTCCAGAAACGCTCTCCCATGCCAAGTATGCTCCAAAGGCTACAATGGCCAGTCCTAGTCCAGGGAACATCTGACCGAGTTGGCGCATGGTCCCAAACGTCGGACTATGTCGCCATGCCTCACGTTTAGCCCAGGGATCTTTGAGAGGGGCAGCGAAGCGTTGGGTTGTAGTTGATAATTGACGCTTAACAACGATTTGACGACTTGATATCGATTTAGCGATGGATTTGGAGCGGAATGAGTGTATATGTGGATTTAACCGTCGTACAAAAACAAGTGATTGGTTAGGTGCGTGCATTGGGGGGCAATCCGAAGTTTCTAGGACAGTAGTTGCTATCAACCCGGTCGATTTGGTGAGGTTCAAGTCAATTATAGACGACGAGGTGAATATTCGAATGTCGAAACCGTGACCGAGATGTGCAAAGCTACATACAACCTGCTGCCAGGAATCGTCTCAATCGCCAAAGCGAAAAAGGGGAGCAAATCCAAGAAATGTATACAGCTAGTCCTCATATACTACCTCCTACCTTGCTTTCCTCTCTCGCTCCTCAAAGCGCTTCCGACTTTCCTCCAACCTTTGCTTCACCTTCTCAAGCCTGACCCGTTTCCTTCGTCGGTTACCCCTCTTTGGTCCTACTACTTGAACACCTTCCATTATCTTCTTCTTTTTCAAAGCGAGCTGCTCTAATCGTGCTTTCTCTTTCTTTTTGTCCCTTTTGCGGAGCGTTTGTGTCATGGTAGACTTCAATAGGGTTCCATATTGAGCATGGAAAGCTGGAAGTGAACTTGATAAGATGTGGGTGGAGATTGTAGTGTGTTTGCCATCTGTCGCCCGTAGGAGGCAAGGGTACTCCTTGTCACCAGATTCCGATTTCCCCTCAGCATCTTGTCCTTCGTATGTTACTGCTAGGCATTAAGCATAAGTTCGTATGCACAGATATAAGAAACTCACGTCTCTTGTGTGTGAGCCATACCGATCCTCCCTTGGTTTGGCAACTTTGAAAGAGCTCTCCTAAGCTCGTTAAAAACTGGTGATCGCATATTATATGTCAAGGTATTGAATTTCGGCCCATCAGTATGTAAAGTCCTCCATAGATGGATAGAGAGTTGCTTGGGGTGCCCACCTGATCATTCTCCAGGAGCTCTCGTTTCTTCCCTTTACCGTTCCCCA